ATTCTCTCTGTCTCAAATAAATAAATAAAATCTTAAAAAAAAAAAAAAAAGATTATTCTTGGGAAAACAGTGTGATTTTGTGACTAAATATTTTTGTGGGCTGTCCAGAAAAGTCGTTCTTTCTTTTTCCCAATTCATCAAAAAGGAGTCATCCCTTTATGATGTCTATTGATTGTTAGTTCTGAGCTTGCTGTTTCTTTTCTAAACTTCCTTGTTTTGTTGGGCTTTGAGTAAATCCTAGTTCTTTATTATTCCTGGATATAATTCAATGATAACAAGAGGCAATGCTTGGTTGGGATTAGTTCTGGAATTTCCCAAACCCTTTTAGTGTAAAACAGAATGAAATGAAGAAATCCTGTTACCTCTCAACCTTGGTCTCATGAACCCCCACAGAGCTTTAGTTTTAGTTCTGGACACAGGGTCTAGAGGCTGAGGCTCCCAGAATGCCCCTCTGTGGTGCTAGCCTGCACCTAGCTCTGGGGATTGCTAAATTTCTGTCAGAGGCACGTTCTGTGCTGCAGAGGTTAAGGAAGTGCCCAGAATGTTGCTGAAACCACAGTGGGAAATGCTGTTATTAGGTGCTCCAAGGGGTTTTCGAAAGATTGTAGACTGAGGCCTTTTAGACACAGAGGATTGGGGAAGCTATACTTGGTCTGGACAAAACTTTTTCCTTTTTTGCTCAATTGTCTTACAAAAATGTGACCCTCTTGATCATCCAACTTCTTTGAGTATATTTCTTCATACCGCTCCCAGCAGCTCAGAGGCCTGGTTTTCTTTCTAACCCACTCGTTTCCCTGTCTCACTCTACTTTGCTGGGTCCCTTGCCTCCTTCCAACCCATAAATGTTGGCATGACTCTGGGGCACCTGGGTGGCTCTATCAGTTAAGTGTCTGACTTGATTTTGGCTCAGTTCATGATCTCAGTGTCCTGGGATGAGCCCCTTGTCAGGCTCCGCACTCGGTGGGGAGTCTCCTTGGGAGTTCTCTCCTTCTCCCTCTGCCCTTCCCCCACTCACTCTCTCTAAAATAAATAAACAAATCTTAAAAAAGAATGTTGGCATGACTCTGACTTCAGACATGAATCTTTACGCCCAGTCAGTGCTTTTCCACTCCCCTCCCCACTATTTGAAATTATCCTATTTATTTTGAAATTACTCTATTTATTTGTTTACTAGTATGCCACTTAGCTCCTTCACTAGAATGTAAACTCTGTGGGTCAGATACACTGTCGTGCTTACTGGGAACCCCTAGGGCATAGAATAGCACTTGGTCCATGATAAGCACTCAACAGTTATTGAATCAATAACTGCCTGATTGAATGAATATATGAATTCAGATAATGAAAAATAGAATTTCTTAAATCAGAGATTAGGAGGAAAGGGTTTTATTGAAATGGCGGGGCGGGGATTGAGACTAGAGTTTAAGATTCTTCCAGGATATTTTCATTGACTGAAATGTGGTCCTGTCTGCTACAACTTCAAAAAAAATGGACAGGTTTTGTTTTTATTCACCACTGAGGGTTGATTAAGTTACATTCTAATCTAAGCTAAGTCCCTCCCAGTGTGAGCATTGTGTGAACCTGGCTACTTACCTCACATCGGGCTCAGCAGTGGCAGCGTGCAGTGGCAGACGGCCATTTTTATCTGGGATATTGTGCTTGGCACCATTTCTAAGCAGACTCACACAGCCTTCCAGCCAACCCTGAAATACAAGAGCAACTGTCATTATATAACACAGCCTGGTATAACATAGACCAACAAACTTTCTCCAATTTTCTTTCTCTTTCTTCTTTGGTGTGACTAAAACCATCTTTTATTGATTTGAAGTGGTTAAGGATCACAACTCTTCAATTTAGGCACTTCAACAGAAGGCTGAAGGTCTTGAGGTGTGGATTCCTGAGTTTCCTAGACTCTCTCCCCTGTCTCCCATTTCCCATTTCTTACTTGTTGTTTTCCACTTTTATACTGAGTTCCTAGGGCTAAATGTGGCACATGGTAGCTCTAGCCTCTCATTCTATGGGCTTAGCTCCAAATCATGCTTGTCAATGGTCTGACCCAGGTGCCATGGTCCAATTCCAAAAATTGGGCTCCTATGTCATTCTTGAGTTCCAGTCTCCACTCTGTGCCTCAGTTTATCTATATCTGATAAACAAGCTTTGGTCCACTTTTCCAAGTTCCCTTTCTAGTAACCACGAGGATAATATTTTGCTTATTCTAGTCTGTCTCCTCCCAATATCTAGAATCCTGACCTGAGCCCTAATCCAATGGCTCAGCCCCTGCCATCTTGTTGAATGATTTTTCTGATGCTGAATATGGGGCTATCACCAGGACCCTCTAAGTGTTCCCTATAGTTGTGTTTCGCTCACCATGAATTCCCCCAAGAAACTTCATGTAAACTCCCTGCTGTCTACTGATCCTCCAGATTGAGAGTGATATTACTGCACCTCATGCTTGTTGCCTTCCTGGTTAGCACTTATAGCTGGGTCATTTCTCAACTATCTCTCATTTCAAAGGGCAGATAAAATGGACAGCTAGTCCTCCCTCCCTTTCTGTTCTATATTACTTTAAGTAACTGACTCAACTCTACTGATAACCAAGTTTGGCTAAGGAGAGTGCCTCCTACATTCATCCAGAGCCACTGGGGTTACTCATTCAATTATAAGTAGACATATAAGTAGATGAAACTATTATTATGAGAATAATATATATAACTCTCTCTCCCACCTTCCTCCATTCCTGTATAGTTAAGCTTCAAGACTACCCAGTCAGATGAGAATGACTGATTTTCCCTCACAATACTGGAAGCAATGGAAATCAAAATGTTACTAAATGAAAGGAGCAGAAAGATAATAAGAAAAGAACCTTTTGGTTCTGGAAATTCTGGAAAAAATCTTTCAGTAAGAGCACATTCATAGGTTCTAATATTGAATATCATTTTGAGTTGACCGATAATATATGTCTTAAGTAGAAGCAAATGTTGTTCAGTCTTGAGTTATAGTTTCCTAATGTATTAAATCTGGTTTTAGTTGCTAATGTCCAAGTCATCAAGATATCTAATTAAAAGGAAAAAATATGACTGGGAAACCCAAAAGAAAGGCATGCTGGGCAAATTTTAGAGTTGCCTAAGTTTTATAGTTTCTGAAAACAGATCTTCTGATGGGGGAGGGTTTGAAACATATTTATCATTTTGCAACATTTCCTGGAACTCTGTGTATGTGGTTTTCTCTTTTTCTTCAGAAAAGAAATCAGAAAATCACTGAATATACTTGAAACCAGTGGTCACTATTCAGAACCAATAAGTACATTTTTCACTATGTGCTGGGTGGTTCCACATGTGTTTCTCTTTCACTTGTGATAAATGTAGGATATTATTTTTTACTACATTTTACAAATGAGGAAGGAGGCACAAAGAGGTAAAGTGATTTGCCTAAGGTTACACATCCATGGTAAGTATATTTGTATATTGAGTTTGGAGCTGTGACGGACACTTAATTTCTAAGTGCCCGCTTTCCCAAGTTTCTCTTTTAATACTTGAATTCAAACATTGCTAGAAGGGAGTGGTGGGCTCCACAGTGCAATCCCCAGGACCACCCCTCACCCTTCCCTGGAAGCCTCATAAGAAACAGGGATGGGTCCTTCCTTTGGTTATCACAAAGAAGGGGGGCATCATTAACAGGGCGATGCCACATGCTTTCATGCAAGCCTATTTCCCTCATGTAGCTCCTTAGAACGCATTCCTAGGAAGAGCTGTCTGCAAAGGGAGCACCTCTCTAGGCTCACTATTCACTGTGATCTACAAGATAACTCTTCCCAATCCTGGAACTTTAGAATTTTGAATGAAGTGCAGTTTGGTTTCCGTCTATTCTCTATGCAAGTAGCAGTCAACTTTAGAAACCATCTCTATTCACTTCCTCCACCCCCTGATCCAAATTTTCTCTTCTCCTCAGCTTGGATACAAAAAAAAGAAAAAAAGAAAAAAGAAAAAATCCATTGCAGGAGCAGTTATTAGGGCATGCTTTAGAAGGGAAGGGGCTAGGAGGGCATTCCTGTGTCTCTCTGAGATATGAGACTTCACCTAGTACTCATAGACCAGTGGTTTTCAAACTTGAGTGGGTATAAAAATGGCCAGGGAGGTTTCTTTAACATGCAGACACATCCTCCCCACCCACTACCCATGTCTGCTCACAGTGTCTGTCTCAGGAGGTCTAGGGTGTACTCCTGGAAAGTGCATTTGAAACAAGTACTCCAGCACTTCGGGAAAAAAAAAAAAATTCTTTCTAGTTTCATGTCTAAGTCTTAGAGAAAGAGGGCATGCAAATAGAAAAAGAAAAAGTAGTTTCTAAAGAAAATCTCTGCAAGAATTGGGCCATGTCTCATGCAATCTCTGCTAGATCGTGGCAGGAAGGTGGGGTGTTTGGGGAGGGGACATTCCTACTTAGGCAGGACAGTTGCAAGACAGAGTGGGGCTTGCTCAGGGCAAATCCCCTGCTGTCAATGGGCAGCAATAGCAAATCCAAGAATCTGCTTCAGCAGCAACAATAGTTAGAGGAAGATTTCCAGGAACCTCATTGGAGATAAAGGAGAATGATGACCCACCTGTGGCACTAAGAACTTGCTTGACACATACTCAAGGTAGCCCTGTGGTTTCTTAGAAGGATTTGAGGGAGGATTTGAAAAGAGAGGGACTTGAAGGTTTTCAGTAAAGCTTACCAAACTTGCTCTAATGTTGGGAAATGCTAAGCTGAAATCTCTTGATGAGGACTCACTCTATATAACTTTTATACTTAGTATTGATTGTGGGTTGAGTCCTATGCTTGGTATTGCCACTTAATAGCCTGACATGTCTCCCCTACTCCTACCCCCCCCAATTTTCCCAGTTCCCAATGTTCCCCATATTCTCCAGCTTCCACTCAACTGATCCTACCCCACAATGTTACCTGTAGCTTCAAGGACTACCACCCACTCAGGGTATTAATGGACTGTGTTCTTAGAAGGAGTACCAAGTATGTCCAGAAATGCCCCAAGGCAAATTCTGATGCAGTTAAGATGGAAAGTAAAATTTCTGTAATGGCAATATCGCCTCTATCTTGGAGGATTGTTAGGAAGATCCAGAATGACTCAGATCCACAAAACCAACTCTTCATAGTGCTATAATTGTCAGAGATGATTAGAGCAAAGATTCAAGTTCTGCTTCCACTGGCTAGCTCCATAAATCCAAGAATACTCTTCCACAAGGGGGACCCCATAACAACACGTTTAGCCCTCCCCACTCCCTGACAGCCACCAAAGACAGAGTTGGTACCAGATAGGTTGCCAGGCATAGACTTGTGCGACCATAAGCATCCTGCATGTTAATATTGGCCCCCATCTTCAACAATAGCTTCACTGTGTCCACTTGACGTCCAGAAACTGCATGCATCAAGGGTGTACATCCTGGAAGGAGACATTTCAACAGCCTTTAATAATATTTGACTTGTGAAATTTATGGGCAAAATTTTTTGCCCATATATGCTCGTTGCAGATAAATGAGCTGCCCTCAACACAAACCCAGCTGTTGAGCTACATGGGACTGAAGAGAAATGAAGATGATTGTTGCTACATTTATATAAACTGTGTATTTTTTCTAGCTCTATTAAATCTTCTATAATTTTGCAGTAATTGGTTGATAAAACATTTCGTGCCAATGATAAAAATTCCTCATTACTACCTTGAGAATCAGCACAATTTGGGACTAACAGGCAGGTTTATCCTCACTTGGCTTGAACAATGTAGGATCCGGAAGCGTCTGGAAAGCAACTTGAGCCAGGCAGACAGTTCCAGCACACTTTTATTAGAGGTGGTGGGTGATAAAGGGCAGTGATGGCAGCCTAGCCTTAGCTTGCATACAGTCTTAAGGAAAGGGTCCACATTTGTTGCAATACTTCTCTGTTTTGGTTATTAATATAAGCCAAGGCATTTGGTTCTTCATGTCTTTTCTTTCTGAACAAAAACAGAGATGAAATTACACATTCTGATTAACTTGTAGGCCTGCTGGAACAAGCTAGCCTGGTGAGGCAGAATCCAGGTGCTTCACACTCCTTCAGGTGAAGAAACCAAACCTCAGACACAGTCCCTTGCCAACGTGAGACTTGTTTACAAATGTTTTCATTGGCGATTCACACCTTCTTCCTGTGAACCCGCAAGCTGTGACCCTAGGAGATCCCTGAGAATGGACAAATGGCGGGACTGTTGTTCTCACCGAAAGATTGCACGGGCAACCCAGTTGCTCTGCAAATCTCTCCCTTCCAGTGCTCTTTGGGTAAAAGCAGCAGTGAAGCACTATGTCTTCCTTAGTCTCAATAGTTCCTTTTTTATTTCTTCCTCTCTCTCCTCTTTCCCTTCTTCCCTCCCTCCCCCTGTCTTCGTTTTTCTGTTTGCGGGTGTTGAATTGCTCTAGCACTGTTTGTTGAAGAGCCTTTCTTCCACGGAATTACATTTGCACCTTTGTCAGAGATCAGTTGAGTATATTTGTGTGAGTCTATTTCTGAATTTTTCATTCTTTTCCATTAATCTATGTGTGTAACCCTCAGCCATTTCCACAGTCTTGATTTCTGTAGCCATACAATAAGTCTTGAAATATGGCAGACTGATTCCTCCTGCTTTATTCTTTTTTTTTTAACATTTTTATTTTAATTCCAGTTAGTTAATATACAGTGTGATATTAGTTTCAGGTGTACAGTATAGTGATTCAACACTTCCATATGTCACCCAGTGCTCATCATGACCAGTGCCCTCCTTAATCCCCATCACCTTTTTAACCCATCCCCCTACCCACCTCCCTTCTGGTAGCCATCAGTGTGTTCTCTATAATTAAAAGTCTGTTTCTTGGTTTATCTCTCTCTCTCTTTTTTTCCCTTTGCTCATTTGTTTTTTCTTAAATTCCACATATGAGTGAAATCATATGGTATTTGTCTTTCTCTGACTTATTTCGCTTAGCATTATATTCTCTAGCTCCATCCATGTTGTCACAAATGGCAAGATTTCATTCTTTTTTTATGGCTGAATAATATTCCACTGTGTGTATATACCACATCTTTTCTACCCATTCATGGAAACTTGGGCTGCTTCCATAGCTTGGCTACTGTAAATAATGCTCCTATAAACACAGGGGCATGTATTCCTTTGAGTTAGTGTTTTTGTATTTTTGAGGGTCATAGGGTAGTTCTATTTTTTAACTTTTTGGGGGGACCTCCATACTTTTTCCCATAGTGGCTGCATCAGTTTGCATTCCCACCAACAGTATGTGAGGGTTCCTTTTTTTCCACATCCTTGCCAACATCCGTTGTATCTTGTGTTGTTGACTTTAGCCATTCTGATGGGTGTGAGGTGACACTTCATTGTAGTTTTGATTTGCATTTCCCTGATAATAAGTGATGATGAACATCTTTTCAATCGTCAGTTGGCCATGTGTATGTTTTCTTTGGATAAATGTCTGTTCATGTCTTCTGCTCATTTTTAAATTGGATCATTTGTTTTTTGGGTGTTGAGTTTTATAAGTTCTTTCTGTATTTTGCACACTAACCCTTTATCAGACATGTCATTTGCAAATATCTTCTCCCATTCCATAGGTTGCGTTTCAGTTTTGTTGATTGCTTCCTTCACTGTGCAGAAGCTTTTTATTTTGTTGTAGTACTAATAGTTTATTTTTGCTTTTGTTTCCCTTGCCTCAGGAGACATATCTAGAAAAAAGTTGCTACAGCCAATGTCAAAGAGGTTCTCTTCTACAATTTTTATGGCTTCAGGTCTCACACTTAGGTTTTTAATCCATTTTTAATTTATTTTTGTGTATGGTGTGAGAAAGTGGCCCAGTTTCTTTCTTTTATGTGTTGCTATCCAGTTTTCCCTATACCATTTGTTGAAGAGATTATCCCTTTCCCATTGGATATTCTTTCCTGCTTTGTTGAAGATTGACCATATAGTTGTGGGTTTATTTCTGGGTTTTCTATCCTGTTCTATTGAGCTATATGTCTACTTTTGTGCAAGTACCATACTGTTTTGACTACTATAGCTCTGTAATATAACTGGAAGTCCAGAATTATGATGCCTCCAGCTTTGTTTTTCTTTTTCAAAATTGCTTTGGCTATTTAAGGTCTTTTGTGGTTCCATACAAATTTTAGAATTGTTTGTTCTAGTTCTGTAAAAAATGCTGTTGGTATTTTGATAGGGATTGCATTAAATGTGTAGGTTGCTTTGAGTAGCATGGACATTTTAACAATATTTGTTCTTTCAATCCATGAGCATGGAATGGCTTTCCATTTCTTTGTGTCATCTTCAATTTCTTTCATCAGTGTTTTATAGTTTTCAGAGTACAGGTCTTTCACCTCTTTGGTTAGTTTATTCCTAAGTATCTCATGGTTTTTGGTGCAATTGCAAATAGGATTGCTACCTTAATTTCTCTTTCTGGTGCTTTATTATTGGTGTAGAGAAATACACCAGATTTCTGTCCATTGATTTTATACCCTGCAACTTCACTGAATTCATGTATCAGTTCTAACAGTTTTTTGGTGTAGTCTTTTCAGTTTTCTATATATAATATGATGTCATCTGCACATAGTGAATGTTTTACTACTTCCCTACTGATTTAGTCCCTTTTCTCATATGATTGCTGTAGCTGGGACTTCCAGTACTATGTTCAATGGAAGTGGTGAGAATGGACATCCTTGTCTTATTCCTGACATAGAGGAAAAGCTCTCAGTTTTTCCCCAGTGAGGATGATATTAGCTGTGGATTTTTCATTGATGGCCTTTATTTTGTTGAGGTATATTCCTTCTAAACCTACTTTGTTGAGGGTTTTTATCATGAATGGGTGTCAAATGCTTTTTCTCCATTTATTGAAATGATCATATAGTTCTTATCCTTTTTCTTATTGATGTGATGTATCATGTTGATTGATTTGTGAATATTGAACCACCCTTGCAACCCAGGAATAAGTCTACTTGATTGTGTATGATTTTTTAAAATGTACTGTTGAATTTAGTTTGCTAGTATTTTCTTAAGGATTTTTGCATCTATGTTCATCAGGGATTTTGGCCTGTGGTTCTCTTTTTAGTGGTGTCTTTATCCCATTTTGGTATCAGGGTAATGCTGGCCTCATAGAATGAATTTGGAAGTTTTCCTTCCTTTTCTATTTTTGGAATAGTTTAAGGAGAATATATATTGACTCTTGTTTAAATGTTGGGTAGAATTCACCTGTAAAGCTATCTGGTCCTGGATTTTTGTTTGTTGGGAGTTTCTTGAATACTGATTCAATTTCTTTTCTGGTTATTGGTTTGTTCAGATTTTCTGTTTATTCCTGTTTCAGTTTTTACAGTTTATACATTTCTAGGAATTTAGCCATTTCTTCCAGGTTGTCCAATTTGTTGGCATATAGTTTTTCATAATATTCTTTTATAATTGTTTGTATTTCTGTGGTGTTGGTTATTATTTCTCTTCTCTCATTTGTGATTTTATTTATTTGAGTCTTTTTTCTTTTTTTTTTCTTGATAAGTCTGGCTAGAAGTTTATCAATTTTATTGAGTTTTTTTTCAAAGAACCAGCTCCTGGTTTCATTGATCTGTTCTGTTGGGTTTTTTTAGTTTCTCTATCATTTATTTCTGCTCCAATATTATTATTTTCTTCCTTCTACTGGCTTTAGGTTTTGTTTGTTATTCTTTTTCTAGCTCCTTTAGGTGTAGGGTTAGGTTGTTTATTTGAGATTTTTCTTGCTTCCTGAGGTAGGCCTGCATTGCTATAGGCTTCCCTCTTAGAACCACTTTTGATGAATCCCAAAGGTTTTGGACCATTGTATATTCTTTTTTTTTTTTTTTTAAGATTGTATTTATTTGACAGAGAGAGAGTGAGAGAGAGAGTGAGCACGAGTCATGTGAAGGGCAGAGGGAGAAGCAGACTCCCCACCAAGCGGGGAGCCTGATGTGGGGCTCAATCCTGGGACTCCAGGATCATGACCTGAGCTGAAGGCAGATGCTTAACTGACTGAGCCACCCAGGCACCCCTGTGTATTCATTTTTATTTGTTTCCATGTACTTTTTAATTTCTCCACTGATTTCCTGGTTGACCCATTCATTGTTTAATAGCGTATTACTTAAACTCCATGTATTTGTGGTCTTTCCAGATTTGTTCTAGTTTCATGGCATTGTGGTCAGAAAATATGCATGGTATGGAGAATGTTTATGTGCACTTGAAAAGAATGGGTATTCTGTTGTAGGATGGAATGTTCTAAATATATCTGTTAAATCCTTCTGGTCCAGTGTGTCATTCAAAGCCATTATTTCCTTGTTGATTTTTCTGGTTAGATGATCTAACCACTGATGTAAGTAGGGTGTAAAAGTCCCTTACTCTTATTTTATTATTATTGATTAGTTCCTTTCTGTTTGTTATTAATGGGTGCTCTTATG